ATATTCATTATACAGAATACCTTGCATTCTTAGCCATGAGTGAACGCCATGTTGGATTAATAATCTTAATGTTTTTTTGTACATAAAGATCCTTCATACCTATCAACTATTTTACCAGTTTATCCTGATACTTACGTCGTACAGTATACACTGTACAGTACAAAGTACACTGTACAGTACAAAGTACACTGCACAGTACATTGTACACTCTACACTGTACCCAGCCGGAAGTTTAAGAGAATATCGAATAAGAATAAGATATCGACAAAATCGACTTAACCCATTCATGAACCTCGGGTTTCGAAACCGAATTTCATGAAAATACCCTGTCTTAAATTTTGAGCTCAGAAGTAATTTATTTAGATCTATTCGGTGTACTCAATGCTTGAGTCCTAGGAAGAAGGTTTCCCCATCTCTCTCCAGGTAAATAAATATAATCTAAACCTAATGCGATAAAAAGCGCTTTTTATCGCTACTAATCTTACTTCTATCTGTTGCGTCTTTAAGGAGAAAATTGTTAAAGACGTCTCATACCGAAGAACGTAGCGTCCATACAAATTGAGAAAATTGCAACATACGACTTAGACCGTAAAAAATCAAGTTAATTTCAAACAAATCATTCAGATATTACAACCTATAGTCATCGATTATCTTTCGCCACATTTGTATATATTTGGTATTTCATACTAGTTTTCCCTCACCTTCCACGAATGGAGCAGGAAGAATTTTCCAATTATCGAGAGTAAAATTAAAACAAAGAAAATAAACCTTTTTATTGCATTATACATTTTCTCCGTATAACATAATAAGAGAAGGTGAATAATAGAAATTCAATAAAACATGCGGAGAGGGTGTTTTTATTAACTAACAAGTAGGGAGTGGGAGAGGATAAGTTATGGAATTCCTCCGAGGCTTTAGCTGCCACTTCGGTTATTTTTTGGACAGACCGTTGAATATATTCAAGTATTCTGGGTATAACTTGTACTATTAAACAATTTTACCATATTGAACATTAAATTGCCTTAATGCACCATAAACATCGGGTTATTATTATTTTATTTTTCAACCAATCCCAAATGAGATCCAACTGAATTTTTTCCTTATATGAGAGAATAAATTCAGGANGTGAATTGTTACTTTAAAAGCAGATTATCCTGTTATGTAAGTTTTCAACATTCTTCAATTAAACTATATCATTGCTTGTAAAGAGTGTGTGTTGTATTTTTAAAAGTAAGAAGATAAGTTCAGAAATCAATTTATGTAAAATACAAAAATCTTCAACGTGATAAATCAGTAGTGTTGAACAGTATTTTTTATTTAAAACCAGTTTCTGAGATATAAATTATGAAAGATGGATTTTTAATTAAAGTACGAAATCACGTGCATTGCATGTAACGACTTTTGCAGAGGTTCAACTAGAGATTTTGTAGCAGATCTTATGGACAAAGACATTAGAAGTGGCAAATTTTATGAATTAAGATGGACTTGATACTCTTTGTTACAGATTTTATGTGTCTTACATGATGGTTAAGTGGTATTTTGGGGTGAAATGGGTGTACATTCAACAATGGTCATCCAGAAGAGTCTATATGACCCTCTGGATAATTGCAATTATACTAAAATTCCAAATTTTTCTCATGTTTTCAGAAACTCTCCTGGTTCTCCCCGTAGTTCCCCTCTGCCCCCTTCCAGCTCCCCTGTCCCCCCTGCTACTATCTCAAATGTGAACCGTGCCAACGCGATGAGATCACTAGCTGACCAGCTGCAACCTCTTCATATATCAGTAACTCCAACCAATACAGGTATAGAGTAGTCTAGTCTGCTATATTTTTTTAACGAAATTAGGGTTTCACTGTTTTTTCCCTCCACGAACGACGATTTAACGACCAGAGGACGCCTACGACTGTGTGCGTATTGAGAATCTATCATAATGAAAATCTAACGTTAGACATTTAGCGGCCAAACTATCGTCCCCCAAAGAACATTATTAGGATGCACCGGTCACTCCCTTTAATGAGTTGGATTCCTTGAAGTAGGACTCTTGGCTAAATGGGCTGTAAGCATAAATTCAAATTACCCTTCGTGCAAAGATGGCAATGCCCGATTTGCAACCGTACCGTTAAAGGCTTTATCATGGTAAAGTATGAATTAGATATCCATTTTTATAATATACAAAAACTGTTATTTTATATTTGGGTTTTCTACAAAAGTGACTTGCTCATTTCTACTGCAGTAAGGCATATTGGAATTATCTGAATTAAATACTTTTAACCTATAAAAACAACAATATCTTCCACATTTTTGATCAAATAAAGGTTTCAAGGGTACTGTTGAGAATCGGGCATTGATCTTTGCATGGAGGGCCACTTAAGAATTACGCTTACGCTTTAAGATAACGGCTAGTATGCTAAATGTAACTGATACTAACCCTTTAATGTAAGGTATGCTGATCTTCTCTAGAGAGCACAGAACTACTTTATTTAATTAGTTCTGACTGAAGGAGTGAATAAGGAATGAGTGATTATACAATTACAAACTCATTTACAACTTTTTTCCTTCACAATGTTTACTTTTACAATGGCTGAGACAACAGAAGTATTTTCAATTTTATTTAGGTAACAACTCTACGGCAGAGACGAGTTTAAGTCCCGCCCCCTCCTCCTCAGCGAAGTGGGCGTGTCTGGTTTGTACCTACGTTAACTGGCCAAGGTAACCATTTAGAACAAATTGGTTGATTTTTACAGTGATTAGGATCAGGATCAGGATCAGGACCAGGACCAGGACCAGGACCAGGACCAGGACCAGGACCAGGACCAGGACCAGGATCAGGATCAGGACCAAGACCAGGATCCGCTCTTGTTTTGCTCCATGGAGAGATTCGGATCAATCAAAATTTAAACCTAACCTTTATTTTAGAAACTATTAAAAAATTAAAAATAATGGAACACAAGAAATAGACTTTTCGTTTGTTTCTTTCTGAATCGATTAATCTTAAAGTTTATCTATTTAACTTAAGCTTTTCATGTTAAAAGTTCATTGCTCAAAGGGGTAACTATGGGGGGGGGGGCAAAAAAAGGGTTGGAAAAGTATTGGTAACCCCCAATCAAACTTTCAAATCCTTTTCTTAACACCTAAATTTGTTTTTGTACTGAAATGCAGTTATGTTGGTTAAATTTAAGTGGGAAGGGACTGGACCGTCACATCTGTTTTCACTTTTTTATCCCAATTGTAGCATTTCATATTTTAATTGTTTTATTTTAGGTGATTCAAGGATGTATTATATTTAATCTATTTTATTTTGATGATTTAAAGGGAGTGTTCGCGAAAAATGAAAAGGGGTATAGGCTTAATGCGATAAAAAGCGCTTTTTATCGCTACTAATCTTACTTCTATCTGTTGCGTCTTTAAGGAGAAAATTGTTAAAGACGTCTCATACCGAAGAACGCAGTGTCCATACAAATTGAGAAAATTGCAACATACGACTTAGACCGTAAAAAAATCCATTTAATTTCAAACAAATCATTCAGATATTACAACCTATAGTCATCGATTATCTTTCGCCACATTTGTATATAGTTGGTATTTCATACTAGTTTTGATTTTGTTTTTTAAAATAATATTTAGCTTACAACTTGTTTTCGAACATTCCTGGAAAATATGAAAATGTCGTCTTCATTACCAAAAATCCTCGAAAAAGGAATAAATGTAACTCTTAGATCATAACAATCAAAACATATTATGAAAAATCAACTATGTATACATGTGGCGAAAAATAATCGATGAGTATAGGTTGTAATATCTGAATGATTTGTTTGAAATTAAATTGATTTTTTTACGGTCTAAGTCGTTTGTTGCAATTTTCTCAATTTGTATGGACACTGCGTTCTTCGGTATGAGACGTCTTTAACAATTTTCACCTTACAGACGCAACAGATAGACGTAAGATTAGTAGCGATCAAAAGCGCTTTTTTATCGCATTAAGCCTATACCCCCTTTCATTTTTCGCTCCCTTTAAGAATATCGCGAAAGTGTGCAATTTGTATACCCCCCCCTCTCTATAAAAAAAACTTTATTGGATGGGGAGTATCGTTGAAAAGGAATGTTCAGAATACTAAAATTTATTTTCTATTAAAACATCGTCATAAAATTATTTAAACTACGGTTAGTTAGTTATTTTGTAATTTTAATTATTTAAATATAGTTACTTTAACTGTTAGGTTATTGAATTAGATATAATAATAGTATTTTTGTTAGAAGTCTACGCTGTGTCCTGTGCTCCACTGTAAAGGGGCAGAACGTCCCTGACCCCCTTGTATCCTTAGCTGGAGCCCCTGAGCAACGAATACCTGATCCAACCCCTGCCAGAGACTCACCTTCCCCTGAAGGTGAAAATAAATGATTAACTTCACTAGGGAGGAACCACTAACTATGGTGTATTTTTTTTAGATTTGTTGTGATTCCAGATTGGAAAAATATAAGTTTGATGATGAATTAAATGACAATTTTCGATAATTTGGGCACTTCCTAACAAAAAAAAATATTTTTCACCATTTTTAACATTAAACAATGAACGAACAGCTTTATCAGTGAAAAGCCTAAATAAAAATAAACCTCTTCGCTCATATATTTATTATATGTGTTAGATATAGCTGGCCAAACGGGAACCCTTAATTACCCCGGGGTTACGGCAACAGAGGCTAGAAAAATTTTATTTTGTTTTCAAAATTCTAAGTGTTTCTAAAATTCTACTGGCAACGTCGGGCACTTCAGCCAGTCATATACAAAATTTTACTTTAAGCAAAATGTGCTTGTTCTCCTATTGGAACATAATAAATCAAATAAAACCCTGGTGACCTATTGATTACAAAGAATCGAGTGAAATAATTTTTTTTTGAAAAGAAAACTATAAAGAATTACCGAAGCAAGCAATATTCTATTATTTATAATACTTTTTAGTGGTTTGGATCAGTTCATAACATTTCCTTTTGATTATAGGGTTATTTATCATTTGCAGAATATATTTGCAGGGGTATATAATATATATATATTTGGAACATTTTTANGATTGGACAACATTTTTCGTCCTTGCCTATACAAAACAAAATTGGTAAAAATAATTTTATAATATAAGAGAGAAAATATTTGTTGTAAACTACCGGTACTGCAGTATGTTATAGTATTTATTATGAATCCGCATAGTGCTGCCCTTGATGTCCAATTGAAACAATGTCCTGTTAGTAATCAGAAGAATACTTTTCATTAATTACAATACAATTTTTGTTATTTACAGGTTTATTACATGATTAAAGGCTATTTAAAAGCAAAGAAAGAAAGCATATCAATTATTTTGATTGATTTAAAATTCGGGGATTGTGATGGACCAAACCTCTGTAGAGTAAATAAAGTAGATTTTATTTCCACATTTTATTAAATTTTGATTGAATTATGATTAAATTTTTTCCCAAAGATTGCTTAAAGACAGATTTTTTGTCATTATTCTTAAAAAAAAAAAAAAGAGAGGATATGTCTGAAAATCAAAAAAGTATTATTGTTTACTGATAACTATGGTTTTACTTAATATAATATAGTAAATAAATAAATGAATAAATAAATAAATAAATAAATAAATAAATAAATAAATAAATAAATAAATATATATAATTTAATAATTAATATTTCAGGTGCGTCAATGCGTCGACTAGACGCCAGCTCCGCCATGCATAGTCTGGAAAACAGACGAAACTTAAGTAGGCAGAGTTCAGACAATAAAATAGACATTCTTAGTCAACAGGGTTTAGAAAACTCATCGGAACTAATCCGGCATAGTACAGATATAAAATCTGGCCTTGTCCGTCGTGCTTCCGAAAACAAACGAACCAACCAGGCTGACACCAACGATGCAGATAATCAGAGTTTAGACAACCGCCTGACCTCCCTAGCAGAGTCCAGAGATCGGTGGACCCCAGACCAATCAGGTTCAGGGTCTGGATCCGTGGCTGGGGCAGCAGGTTCTAATAATCTAGAATATGAGAAGAGACTTCGTCAGCTCAGGTAAATATACAATAAGAGACTGTAAGCGTAATTTCAAGTGACCCTCCATGCAAAGATGACAATGCCCAATTTCCAATTGTACCCTAAAAGCTTTGTCTGATCCAGTATGAATTAAATATTGATGGTTAATCTATGATATCCAAAAATTATTGTTTGCAATACTGGATTCTCTATAAAAGCGACTTCCACATTTCTTCTACAGGAAAAATATCGGAATTATTAGAATGAAATACTTTCAATCTTAGGAAAACGTCGATATCTATCACAGTATTAATCAGATAAAGTTTTCTAGTGTGCCATTGTGAATCAGCCATTGTCATCTTTGCATCGAAATTAGGCTTACAGTCCTTCTGAATATAATCTGTGATAAGGTTCTAACTTTTAAAAGAGGGGGCTTCACTAGGATTTGTTGTCAATTTATCTATAGGTTTGAAAGGGGACTGGCTTTTGATCTTAAAAAGGTTTGAAATGAAAGGGTTTACAAAGTTGTACATTTGTGAATTAAGATAGGGTTGAAAAGGTATACTGAGGAGTGAATGTATGAAATGTGATAGGTTTGAAAGGGAAAACTTAAGAATTTTGGAATGATGTAAGGTTTGAAGAGAGAAATCTAGTTAGTAACTTATTGATAAGGTTGAAAGGGGAGATGATTGATTTGTAAATCATATTCAAAAGTGTCACTAAGATTGGGAATATTTTAATAAAAGAGATATTTGATAGGGAATCAAAGTTAAGAATTAAGTTAAGAAAGAGATATTTAAAAGGAGAAGCTGGGTTGGAAAGGTAAGGTTGGTGAAAATGAAAACGAGGTTTGAATTTATGAATTTATTTAGGCGACGAATGCGTGAGACTGACTGGGCGTGGGTATCTGCGTGTATGGGCGTGGTTGAAGGCGATATCTGCCCTGTGGAGGCGTATCTTAACTCAGGCGGAGATCCAACCAGGTTAGTTGGAAAATGGAGACCATTTATTTTTGATTTCTTTCCTAAACTTCATGAAACCAGGAAATTCAGGATTCAGGAAATTTGTCCATGAATACGCCTCTGATTCAAACCCCTTATTCTCTTACACTGTCTACCATGTTCGCTTAAACAAACGTTTAATGTTATTTATTCCAATCTCGTTGTTTCAGTGATAGTAATTTCTTTTTTAAATCATGCTTTAACTCGCAAGGTATACAATCGTTAAATGTAATTCATTGTTGTGAAAGTAATTCATTTCATATTTGTAAAAATTTCATCTTCTAAAAAAGTGGATGGAAAGGCATTGTATAACTACGAAGGTGGAAAGGCAGTGCATAATTACTAGGATGGGAAAGGAATAGTAAACTAAGAGGGTGGGAAGGCTGTAATCTGAACTAGTGTATCCTGTAATGTTTAGGAAGTTAACCCAAGGTGAGGCTGGTATGCTGGGTAGACCTGGTATATTTGAACCTGGTCATACTTTGGTTCATTTAGCAATCAAATATCACAGGTTATAATCATTCAATATCTCAGCCCCCCCCCAACCCCCTTTTCAGCCCTTTGATTTCGTCCCCTTCTTGTGAAATAAGAATTTTCAAAGCACCCTGCATATAATTTAAGGATAAGGAAATATCCAGTAAATTCTCAATCCGCCCCCCCCCCTCACTAAACCTGATGTTGCGCCCCCTTAACCTAGTCTTGCTTGTTAGGGAGGATCTACTAGCAACACTACTCAGCCAGATGGAGGGGTTGAGTAACCCAGCTGTGAAACGAGTACCATCATATGTAGCTCCAGACCTAGCTGCCGCAATCAGGAGACAGTTAGCTCTCTCACTTAGGTTAGTAGAAAGCTATTTGTAGCCCCAGACCTAGCTTCCGCATCAGGAGACAGCTAGCTCTCTCACTTAGGTTAGTAGAAGGATATATGTAGCCCCAGACCTTGCTGCCGCAATCAGGAGACAGTTAGCTCTCTCACTTAGGTTAGTAGAAAGCTATTTGTAGCCCCAGACCTAGCTGCCGCATCAGGAGACAGCTAGCTCTCTCCCTTAGGTTAGTAGAAGGCTATATGTAGCTCCAGACCTAGCTGCCGCAATCAGGAGACAGTTAGCTCTCTCACTCAGGTTAGTAGAAGGATATAGGTACTAGGTAGCCCCAGATCTAGCTGCCGCAATCAGGAGACAGTTAGCTCTCTCACTAAGGTTAGTAGAAGGATATAGGTAGCTCCAGACCTAGCTGCCAGCAATCAGGAGACATCTAGCTCTCTCACTCAGGTTAGTAGACGGATATATGTAGCCCCAGATCTAGCTGCCGAAATCAGGAGACAGTTAGCTCTCTCACTAAGGTTAGTAGAAGGATATATGTAGCCCCAGACCTATCTGCTGCTATCAAAAGACAACTTGCGCTTTCACACAGGTTAGTAATAGGATATATGTAGCTCCAGACCTAACTGTAGCTATCACAAGACACCTAGCAACCTTACTCAGGTTAATAGAAGAATATATGTAGCTCCAGACCTAGCTGTATCAATCAGAAGACTGCTAGCTCTCTCATTTTATTGAGTAACCCCCTTCACCAGTTTTTACGTTTTTTGAAATTTTCCTTATCATAATCAAAGAGTTGTGAGGCCTTTTCTCTGTCACTCCTTAAAGAAATTGTAGACGTAATTTTAATTGAAACTTATTTATAAATGAACATGTGCGATTCAAAACGGTAAAAAGCTTTTTCTGATCAAGAATGAAAATTGAATAAGCTTTCCTTGTTTTTCTCTTTAAAAACAGATTATTATTAGATTTGGTTTCTCTAAATTGAGTTATGAATTTCTGCTGCAAAAACATGCTTGATCAATCAACGGGTTCGTCGGTACTGTTGTGAATCAGGCATGCCATGCTTTTAAATGGAGGGTCACTTAAAATTATAACGACATATGGAAGATAATATTTTTATCAGCTGCTAGATGAATGTTCAATTAAAAGAAATATTCAATCAATGTGTTGCTAACATGAACCTTTCTTAGAACTGTTAATTAGAGGAATTTTGTTTTCCTTGTTCTTTAAAAAAAAAACTTAGCTGTAGTTAGGGATGGAACGTTTTCACTTTTTTTGAAAACGATCGTTTCGGTTAAAAAACGACGAAGAAAAAAAATAACACGAAACGATCGTTTTTAAAAACAATATTTTTTTAGAAGCTGTCGTTTTTCGTTTTTATAAAGGGTCGTTTTTAAAAGCTATGGTTTTTGAAAACGACTTTTCTTTAAAGACCGTTAACTACGAATCTTTGTTAACGAAGACCTTTCGTCTTTTAAGGAGAAAATACATTTTTTAATTAGAAAATCCGAGGTCAGAAACATTCTGGTTATTTGCCTCGATAAAAAAATTAAGACTACATTCATAATCTAATCTTCGATCCTGAAAAAAATTGAAATTAATGGTAATAAAATTCAGATACATTAGTGAACAAATTTTCATTAACGATTGTTTTCAAAAAAGATAATTTTTATAAAAAAAGATTGTTTTTTAAAACGATTAACATCATTAATTGCAGTGCATCAACTAGTATGCAACTGTCCAACTGATTTCGCAAGCCGTAGCTAGGTGAATTGCATAATCTTTAGATTTCATCTTGCATTCTTCTCCTTTATAGGTTTAAAAAATAAAACTTGTTTTTATGAACGTCATTTATAAAACTAATTTTATATTTGTGTTCAGGCATCGTAAAGGTGGTTTTCCCTGTTTTTATCTGTCCGACTGCGCCACCTATACACTTCCACCAGAACTAGAGGATCTGCCTCGCAATGTCCAGGTAATCTTAAAGGGACTGCTTTTGAAATTGAAAGTGAATTTCCATTGGCATTGGCCTAGTCAGTCACATGTGTGTCGCTTTTAAAGTGAAACCACGAAGGAACATTTTTATTATTAATGGAAATATCTGCCAAGTTTCTTGATCGGACAAAGATTTGGAGTACCGTTGTCAAATTTGCGTTCATCTATGCTTAGAACATTACCCTTGCTAAACTGAAACCATACACCGATACTATTTACCCTCATTTATTCATGCAATAATTTATTACATTAAACCTTTTCTACTATTAGTTTTAATATCAGTTGTATATATATTTCTTCATTGCTTTAGAGAAGGGGTTCAAAACTATTCTATACAAAAAGCTCTTTGCTCATGTATATATTTTTATATTTGTACACCATCTGTATAACTAGGATTTATATGCACACAGTTGTTGTACAACGAGGATATATTTTATGTGTACATGAGCAACTGTACAACGAGTTATATTACATATGTACATGAAAAGTGTACAATAAGGAAATATTTTATATGCACATGAGCAACTGTACCACGAGGCTATACGTACAGGAGCAACTGAACAACGAGTATATAATGATGTACAGGAGCAGCTGTACAACGAGTACATATATTATATTTGTAAGGGAACAACTGTACTAGTATAATTATATATTTACGGGAGTAGCTGTACAAAGAGTATATATTATATATGTACGAAAGCAACTGTACAACGAGTTTATATTATTTATGTACAGGAGAAATTGTAAAACAAGGATATATTATATTTGTACAGGAGCAACTGTGCAACGAGTATATATCTATCTTCTATATAATAAAACAAAACATTTGTATATATTTATGTTGCCTATAGCCGGCCAAACGGCTGGACCGATTGGGCTGAAATTTTTTGTGGACACTCATGGGTGGCCAGGAGGTGTTAAAGGCTAAAAAATTTGAATTTTTTTCACGGGCAACGCCGGGCCCTTCAGCTAGTATATTAAATATGTTCATTGTACACTGTACACTGTATAGGAGCAACTGTACAACGAGCTGCTGGATAAGGATGCTAAAGCAGAATTGGAGAGTGAGCTTTGTATAAACTGGAGTGAAGAGGTGAGGAACAAATAACATTCAAGGTTTGCAAGTAACAACAATTTTATAATTCATAAATTTTTGCAATCTGACGTTTTAAACCTTTAATATTCCAAACTTTCACTCTTTGATCTATTAGAATTCATACTAGTTTCAAGTGTATGAAAGGATAAAGGAAAATATAGAATTAGATCCTTTGCAAAATGATAATTTTAAAGAAGTAAAAAAATGATACTTTGCTTTTTATCTACAAAACAATTTTTTGTGCCAAATGAGATAAAATATCTTTTAAAAGATTTAATTGATTTATCTATTATTAAAGAATAGGAAAGTGGTCATTGGGCATTGGGCATGGATTAGCATTATGCTACGTGACGTATGTGACACATGTATATATATATGTTCCTGCACCGGGTCGCTTACTTCCAGGGTTCATTGATATAACGTGTATGTATCTTAAACGATAAAAAAATTTCGTCGAAAATTTCGCATTTTTTCGCATTTCGGTTGCTCACGAGAAGGTGAAAATGTTCGCTTTATTCGCAAAATTTCGTTTTAATCTGTTACGCGAAAAAAGTTAAATTTTCGCGAAAAAAAAATGCGAAAAAGGCTTGGTTTTTGCGGATTATTTTCGCGAAATATCGTGAAAACAGTTTTCGCGAAATTTTGCATCGTTTCCGCAATTTTCATTTTCGCGAAAAAATGCGAAATCTCGCGAAAAGGTTGCGAAATGCAAATTCTTTTCGCGAACGTTTTCGTTCGCTGTAAATTCTAGCTGTGCCCTGAATGCGGGTTTCACGTCAGGTTCCTTTTCAGATCATTCTATTATTTCTTATCTGAAAATTTTTCATAAATGGAGCTGTCTGAGGCAAACAGCCTGTTATAAGTTACATCTTTTTAGAGCTGTCTGAGGCAAACAGCCTGTTATAAGTTACATCTTCTTAGAGCTGTCTGAGGCAAACAGCCTGTTATAAGTTACATCTTCTTAGAGCTGTCTGAGGCAAACAGCCTGTTTTAAGTTACATCTTCATAGAGCTGTCTGAGGCAAACAGCCTGTTATAAGTTATATCTTCTTAGAGCTGTCCGAGGCAAACAGCCTGTTTTAAGTTATATCTTCTTAGAGCTGTCCAAGCAAACAGCTTGTTATAAGTTGCATCTTCTTAGAGCTGTCTGAGGCAAACAGCCTGTTTTAGGTTACATCTTCTTCATAGAGCTGTCCGAGGCAAACAGCCTGTTTTAAGTTACATCCTCTTCATAGAGCTGTCCGAGGCAAACAGCCTGTTTTAAGTTACATCTTCTTCTTAGAGCTGTCCGAGGCAAACAGCCTGTTTTAAGTTACATCTTCTTCTTAGAGCTGTCCGAGGCAAACAGTCTGTTTTAAGTTACATCTTCTTCTTAGAGCTGTCCGAGGCAAACAGCCTGTTTTAAGTTACATCCTCTTCATAGAGCTGACCGAGGCAAACAGCCTGTTTTAAGTTACATCTTCTTCATAAAGCTGTCTGAGGCAAACAGCCTGTTTTAAGTTACATCTTCTTCCGAGAGCTTCACCTAGTTGACAATGGACACGTTTCTGGCTTCAGCATCTAGAAGCGTTGATATTTATCTCATTGAAAAATAATAATAAATATGTTTAGATAACTAATGTGTTGGGAAGCAGACTGTTCCCTTTATGGAACCGGTCTGCAGGAGACTGTTTGCTAGATGCTGCATTACAGGTTAATTATTATTTTTAATACGTCTCTGATAAATAAAAAAGTTCTGGTTAACAAATATTTCCCTTACGTTGAATTGAAGAGACTTTAAGCGTAATGTTTAAGTAACTCTTTGCAAAGATAGCAATACCCGACTCAATACAGTACCCTTCAAGGCTTTGTCTGATCAAGTATGTATAAGAGATCAGTGTTTCTGATAGCAATACCCGACTCAATACAGTACCCTTCAAGGCTTTGTCTGATTCAATACAGTACCCTTCAAGGCTTTGTCTGATTCAATACAGTACCCTTCAAGGCTTTGTCTGATCAAGTATGTATAAGAGATCAGTGTTTCTGATAGCAATACCCGATTCAATTCAGTACCCTTCAAGGCTTTGTCTGATCAAGTATGTATAAGAGATCAGTGTTTTTAATTTTGTAAATCGATTATTTTCAATTTTGGTTTTTCGCATTTATAATGCATGAAACTCAAAGGAATTATTAGAATAAATACTTGTTAAATCTAGAAAAACAACAATATTTTCTTTGCATTCAGATTCATTTGAGTTTACGCTTACACTCCCTAAAATAAAGGGTTTTCCAAAAACATGGGAATTAATTGTAGAATTTGTTATTTTCATTTCCAAGACCATAGTATTTACTGTCCATATTTATGTCAAGAGGAACCAGATTTAATGAATAGGAGAAGTAACTTCCTGCGCCGGGTTAAAGCTGAAGAGAAGCGGTTCAATTCAGTTCACGTAGTTTTAAATGTCCTATCTATTAAATCTGGTTCCAGCACAGAACTATTACAGAGTTTGTAGATTTATGAATTTTGATTCCTGCATTTCTACTTTTGGAGGAAGACGACAATTGGCTGCTACAAAACTTTAACTGTTCAGGCGACCTGGGGTGTTTTTGACAGGGATAATATGCTAAGAAGAGCATTGGCAGATAGTTTAACAGAAGCAGGACATGTGTACGTATTTTATTTTTGTTTGGTTTATTAAAATTTCAGGATTACAGATGAAGCGCATTTACCATAAAGTAGTAAAATAGTTTTTTTTATTTTTAAGAAAACTCTTACATGATAACTAAATAATTCATCTATGTTTGCGCGGTTCACAAAAAATGTTTTAAGGTTTTATTTGCTTAATGTGGGAAAATAAATGATTTTATTGGGAAAATAAATGTGTATTTTGGGGGGGTTTTTAGTATCTAAAAGAAGGGGGGGGGACAACTTGTCTTAGGATGCCCAATTTTAGATTTTTTCCTGAGAGTAAATAGCCCCCAACCCCCCTTATATAATTCTTGAAAATAAAGTAAAAGTTTAGATTTAAATTGAAAAAATAAATTTCTTTATAAAACTTAACCTTTTTCACCATGTAAATTAATTTTATTTAATCGATGCGTTGTAAAATATTAGGATTGAATTTGAACTAACTTTATCCCCGTTTTAATTCTCTTTTTTTAGATAAAATCTCTTTTGTTTACTTCAGTTTTCGTTTACATTTAATCCGGTTCGTTTACATTTAATCCGGTTCGTTTACATTAAATCCGGTTCGTTTACATTTAATCCGGTTCGTTACATTTAATCCGGTTCGTTTACATTTAATCCGGTTCATTTATATTTAATCCGGTTCATTTACATTTAATCCAGTTCGTTTACATTTAATCCTTTTCGTTTACATTTAATCCGGTTCGTTCACATTTAATCCGGTTCGTTTACTTTTAACTCGGTTCGTTTACAATTAATCCGGTTCGTTTACATTTAATCTGGTTCGTTTACTTTATTCGTTGATAAACATTTAATCCGTTTGTTTAGATTTAATCCCCGTTGGAAGGAGTGGGAGACTAGACAAGCTCAGGAACTCGGGTTCTCATTGGCTGACAGTCAGTGGGACTCGGACTGGGCAGACCTTCTCAGGTTGGTCGGGGTTTAACACACTTATGGTTACTCATTGCCAGGAAACGTCTTGCGGTTAAAGTGGTTAGCGTTAAAGTTGGTTTAAAAAAGTCTGCTTTTTCAAAGATTTAATTTACGTTTGAATGTAGATTGGAGGTTTTTATTTTCGGAAAATTCTATGCTTCCTCTTCCAAGAGATGGTATAGACAGATAGTGGCACGAGACCCATGAAACGATGGAATAGCGAGACTTCATTTAATCAATTTTATGTTCAGTTGATGAATATATAAATCAAATCAAATTAGAGTTTTGAGACAACATTTTCACCTCAAGATAAAGCAATTAAATTAACCGGTAGCTTTGAAATCAAGTTTTTAAGTGAAATGGATCTGTACAGTGTATAGTGTACACGCTAAACTATTGTTGGATTTATGTTTCAATTTCTTAATTTAATTTAATTAGTTAATTTGTTTTCTATTTAGTCTGGCTGGTCAGCCTGGAGCTAGTCTAGAGCAGACGCATATATTCTGCCTGGCACATGTACTGCGCCGACCTATAATTGTGTACGGGGTGAAGTACGTAAAGTCCTGGCGGGGTGAGAACCTCGGGTACGCAAAGTTTGAAGGAGTTTATTTACCTCTCCTGTGGGATCCAGGTTTCTGCTACAGGTAAACGGTAAACTGGGTTCTAACAGGGGTGTTTAATTTATTGAAAAATCGCTTTTTCCCTCTCCTTTTATGTTTGCGAGGAGCGGAATACTTTTTGTCAGGGTTTTATTCGCTGAATTTAAATTACTTTTGGGGTAGATTAATGAATATTTAGATACAAAGTATAAAAGGATAAAGAACTTACTTTTTGATTTCTAACTTTTCATTCATTTCCCCCAGATCAAAAAATTGTTTCCTCCTCTCTGGTAATTCTTAACAATGTTCACCTCTGGGTTTTAATTTCCTATACCCCCCCCCCCCCCTCTTTACCAGAGTTCTCCCAATACTAATCTGCACTGGGGACGACGACATTTTCTCTATGCTGCTAGGATATAAGATCATAAGATGCTATTCTATCCGACCTACTGCTGGTTTGATGAGCTATTAAATATTTTAAATGTAATAATTCAGGTCTCCGATTGCTCTGGGGTACACCAGGGGCCACTTCTGTGCGTTAGTTCCCCCTGAACCTGACCTTAGTTGTGGTGGGGCAGGGGGTGGAGCTGCACCCCTCACCCCTCCAACTGTTTGTGCATATCTACCCCTTGTCTCAAGGGAACAGGAGATGTTACCCCTTCATTTTACATCAAGGTATACTATACTTCACAGTCACACTGTACAATGTACGGTGTACAATACAGTTTACATTGTATTCTGTATTATAAAAATTTATTACGAGTTATTTTATTTAGGGGTGAGGTAGGGAGAGAGGAGGAAATATTGAAACAGTGGATGGATGTTGGTATAACAGAAGCAGGTTTGATAAAACTATTTTTACATTTTGATATGACAGTACAGGATATAAATTATGCGGTGAAAGTTTGATTAAGAAATCGCCATTTAAGGTTGTTTGTCGAAAAGCTTTAAGGTTGGTTGGTTGATTGGTTGGTTGATTGTTTGGTTGATTGATTGATAGGTGTGTGGGTTAATTGGATTAGTCGTTTATTTGAAATTTATTTGGGCTCTTAATAGTTTTTGGGGTGGTTTGATGGTTGGTGGTTTGTTGGTTGGTTGGTTGGTTGGTTGGTTGGTTGGTGGGTTGGTGGGTTGGTTGGTTGGTTGCTTGCTTGCTTGCTTGCTTGCTTGCTTGCTTGCTTGCTTGCTTGCTTGCTTGCTTGCTTGCTTGGTTGGTTGGTTGGTTGGTTGGTTGGTTGGTTGAGAGGTTGGTTGAGTGGTCGAGTGGCTGAGTGGTTGAGTGGTTGGTTGAATGTTTGAGTGGTTGAGTAATTGGTTGGGTGGTTCAGCGGTTGTTTGTTTGAGTGGTTGGTTGGTTAGTTGATTGATTTTCGGGTGTGTTGGTTGATGATTGATTGATTTGCTGATAGTTGGGTGGATTGATTAATGGTTGGTAAAGGTTAATTAGTTAAATTCAAATCTTGATTTCTAAAGTGTCAAATTATCCAGGAATAATGGTTGCTCAGCAGACGATAGCTCGACCCCCTCTACTTGTTGCTCAGATGACAGAGGAATGGTTGAACTATTATAGAAAAATTGCACAGGTTTAATCTTTACAATCCGGGGTATATATTTTAGCAGAATTTATCTTTTTCATGAAAAATTTGACGTGACTAAGTAATGTATCAACCCTTCTTATCATTTCTTATCATTTTTCCCCCCTAAAACTCATTCCAAAAAAGCTCAGCAAAAAAACCTAAAACTTCTGGGCAAACATGCCTAACAGGGGGGGGGGGGGGGGTTGATTTTCAAAGGGACCCCTTTGTTTTAACAACCTTTTAACTGATAAACTGTTATGAAACCATTTTACTATTCTTGGACACTTTTACATTTTTTATTTTGATAATAATAATAATAATAATAATTCAGGAGTAATGTCACAAACACAACCACTCAAAAATTCATTTGTTTTGAGAAAGGGAGAGGAGGGGGATTTTTTTATATTTTATTTTTAATTATTACCAGGTTTAGTATTTAAATTAAGGTTAGTCGTAACTGTTTTTATATTTTAGAGTACCTCCGCCCCGGTGGCTGGGCGGAGCCAGCTCTCCGCCAGGATAGAGCTGGAGTCATCGGAGGAGAGTACAGATGACGATTGATTTATTGTCCGCCGGTTAATAGACGATGATTAAAATATCGTCCACCGGAGAACTGTCCAATCATCTAGGATCACTAGTCAAGCCATTGTGTCGAGATTCAAATGTTATTTGTATCAATTTGTAATTTAGTATCATGTGTACCATCATCTATATTCAACCTGAAAAGGAGTGACTGGCTAGGTATGGGAGTCCAAGTAAGAGTGCAGAAAGCGTTTTTGGGATCTATGATTTCTACATAAGACCGAAAATTCAATTTTTTTTTTTAAATCACAAGGAGGGATTAATCCGTGGACTTGCTCATAATTGTTTCGATTTTTTTTAAGTTATTCAATAACCCGGACGAAAAATGTTACAAAAATTTTATATCCTTCATCATGATTTTTTATTTTTGGTCTTTTTTAGCATTTATAGAACTTCAATCTTATTAAATCCAGATATTTTCTGTTTAATACCGCAGTTCAACTACCCTGTCAAGCCAGTCTCTCTCCCTTTAAATTTATTTGCTGAGTAGTACATCAATAGATGGATCATAGTATAGAACCTGATTAGAAGTAGAATATATAGAATGTTATATATATTTGAATAGATACTTAATAATAAGAAAGAAAAATTCAAAAGTTGATTAAAATGTCCTGGCGATACCTATTTCCTTTTATATATCTTTAAATTAAAGATCTTTCATCATTTCAAATTTAATTCTAAAAGTTTATTTAACTGAACAACTTTGAACTTCATCACTACAATGACCGCCAAATTTTCGTTGTAAACTATAGTTTACTAGCTAATATATTAGTAGGGTATATTTTAGAGTACTGCATACAGTACTGTACGGTTCTGTACAGCATGCTGATCCCTTTGTACACTATAGTTTTCTAGCTAAGTAGGGTATATTTTAGAGTACTGCATACAGTACAGTACGGTTCTGTACAGCATACTGATCTACACTATAGTTTTCTAGCTAAGTAGGGTATATTTTAGAGTACTGCATACAGTACAGTACGGTTCTGTACAGCATACTGATCCCTTTGTACACTATAGTTTCTAGCTAATATATTAAGTAGGGTATATTTTAGAGTACTGCATACAGTACAGTACGGTTCAGTACAGCATACTGAACCCTTTCGGTTGCACTGTATAGTGTATAACACTTAATAGATTGTTGATAAATGTACCAGTTGTATTGTATCCTCACATATACAGCATCAATTGAAAATTACTTAGTTGTTTGTATGGATTTCTAGTGATTGTTAATTAAGCCTTGACGGACAGAGAAAAATAATATAAAAAAATAAATTTTTCTTGTTCTGGTCCTTTCAAATATTTATTACAATTTAATCCGTCCGGACCATGTAGTCCGAATACCAGCTAGTCCAGCAGAGAGGGTTCGGACGATTCTTTTTGTCCTTTATAATTATATCATTCTTGAAATATGTCGTCACTTGTTCCACGTTAGATGTAAATTTTCTCAGCTTTCAGCCCTGTTTAACATTATTATCTAATAAATAGAGTTTTAACGTATAATTCTTATGTAAATTTTCAGAATTCTAATTTTTGTTGAAATATCGATTTACGAAATTTCAGGTCAAAATGGTGGATGATGGGGAATTAATGAGAGCTGTGATAGAAGCCTTCGAGATACAACTGGATAAGGAAAATACTTCAAGCATGGATATTTAAGAAAAATTTATTGCTTTGCTTTGCATATTTCAATATTTACGTTGATAATTTGTTGATTTTTCCGTTGTTTCTAATGAAAGAAATGCGCGCAGTCTCAAAGAAAGCACAACTTTTCAGTTTAACAAGTATATCACAAGAAGCACTTATTTATATAAATGAATATCTTACTCTTGCCTATTCACACAAAGCATTTAAGGGTACGTTGTTAATCACACATGCTGCTCTATCATGGGAGGGTTACCTAAAAAATTCGTTAAAAGCTTTAAGGTGCGCTTGTCGTGGTAGAATTTGCCTGAAACGGGGTATTTAAAGCCCTAAATGTCCAGAAGGAATTCTGTGCCTATACATTTATCTTGATGTATAATATAAATAAATTGTGCTGAGGAACTGTCTGGGGTTTACATTTTCTCTTAAAAAAGTTCTTTAGCTGGTCGAGAGTTGAAAATATTATTCTAAGCATGATAGATAGATAGTCGAGAGTTGAAAATATGATTCTAAGCATGANTAAAATATGTTTGGAATGGCAGATAGATAATAAGCTTTGTTTAATCGATCAATCACTTAAAAAGATAAGTATTAGTAAGATTGTTAGAAGGGACACCTATGTTCACAGAGTCAAAAAATATTTCAAGGTTTTAAGTAGACATTTTATTAAATTGAATTGAAAATTTAAAAAAAACAATTAAGAATACTTTTTTTGTAAGAAACATATTTAATTTTTCACAAACAGGGGCGGATACAGGATTTAGATTTTTTCACTTAAAAGACTCAAAAAGAGTCAAAATTAATTACTTAAGACTAAAAAACTAGATTTTTAACTTTTTACTCATTTTAGTTTATTAAGACAGATAGTTTTCCTGTTTTGACTAGGGCTTCTTTCCCTTAAGCATGCTATTGAGAAGCCCCTCCCTGAATGTGTCAGGGGGGTCGAATGTCCCCCCCCGTATCCGCCCCTGTTCACAAACGTTTTAAACTTATTTCATCTTTCCAATGTTAGTTTAAAATCAATAATTTTTATTTGTAGAAGTTTTGAGTTCAACGTCGAAAAATGTTAACAATCCACCACAATTTATTTAAAACATTTGAACTATATGCTACTTTCCTTTTCCCTTTTTTTAAATTTGGGGGGTAGGGGGATATTCCCACTTAATTTTTTGCAGCCTGTTTTGCAAACCTTTAAAAACAGTTTCCATAGTTTGCATTAAAAAAAAAACAATTTTTTGTTTGTTTACTTTGAAGTAATGTACTGCAGGCCCTGAGTACCCTAGATCTACAGGAGGAATCAAAAAAAGCGTTAAAACAAAAATATCTCCAGTCTTTCACCAACAATATCCAGGTTAAGTCTACGAAGAATTTTCAAATAATAATAAATGAATATTTTTTATTCGATTTGAATATGTTTTGATGTTTAAGATTTTTCAAAATTGAAAAATATTTCAATGTTGAAGATTTTTCTTTTGTTGAATACTTTGCTAAGTTGTTGAATATTTTTTGATGTTGGATATTTTTCCATGTTGATTATTTTTCCATGTTGATTATTTTTCCATGTTGATTATTTTTCCAGGTTGATTATTTTTCCATGTTGATTATTTTTCCATATTGAATATTTTCGATGTTGAATAATTTCGATATTAAAGATATTTTTATTGATTGAAATTAAAGGAAATTTGAGCTGAAATGATTCTACAGTTTCATTTCTTATCATATTCAGTCTGACGTTGCATTTATCTATAGTACTTTTTTTAATGTTTTTAGAATTGTATGTCAAAAATCTGCGATTTTTCAGTCAGGTTACTATTCTGAAGATTGGCCTTCTGAAGACATGAAACCATTATTTATTTAAAGCCAAAATTAAATTATAAAGTTTATTTACCAAAGGAATGCTTTTTAAACGACTTTTTAAATTTTAATAATTATTTGTTGATTAAAATACTGAACCTTGTAATTAATTTTAGTTTGGATTGAAAAAGACTTTTGGTGAATGTGAAGTGGATTCAACTTTGGCTGCAGCAGCTGCTGTGGATCTGCCCGCTGCTGAAGGAACTAGCGATGAGGTGACTCCTGAAGATATTGAGAAGATGCAGCATGCCATGGCAATAGCTGCCAGCAAGCGAGCAAGGTAATGATTTAGAAGAGTGTCTGAATTATACAATATACATGTTGTTTGGCAGGCCATGTCGGCCAATGGCCAATGATCCAGTCGTATTAGAGAGAAGACTGACAGATTATATATTGAACATAACAGATATATATACAGAGCATAAAAACCATAACAATTATATATTGATAAAGTTCGGTGGATTATGAATATAATACTTGCTAGCAGTTAAAATTGTTTCAGGGACTGGAAGCGTAATTTCAAGTGACCCCCTTATGCAAAGATGACAATGCCCTATTGTCAACGTTTCTCTTAAAAGCTTTGTCTGAGTTAGTATAAACTAGATATCTATGTTTTTGATTAATTAAATTGTTTATCTTCAAAGGTAGTTTCTCTGCAATTTTTGCTTTTAAAAACAAAGTAGAAATTTACAGAAATAGAACACTTTTAAGTTTTTCGAAAAACGACGTTTTATCAAATTAATGTTTTAAAGAAATTTTATGATTTTTTTCTTTTTTTGAAGGTTTTGTATTTCGTTCCAAAGGATCCTTAAATATCCCTGAACATAGACGCCTGCTTATTGATTGTGTAACCTGGTAAAACACAATGAACTCAATGAAGAAAATATAGCATATTCAAGCCTTTAATAGATATCTGTACTCTCCAATCTTTGGTCATCTTTAAATTTTTCATAAGGTTGCTGGTCTAGTGTCTATAATTTGTGAACTGAATACTAGATCGCTAGTAGCTTAGTAATCTTTGGTAATTTGATTACCAGATTGCTGTAGCGTGTTGACATTCGGTAATCCGAATACAAGAATACTAGTAGCGCATATACATTTGGTAATTTCATTAGCAGATTGATAAAGCATGTTATCCTTTGGTACAAGGATACTAGTATCGCTTAAACATTGGTAATTTGATTAGCAGATTACTGTAGCGTGTTAACCTTTGGTAATCCGAATACAAGAATACAAGTAGCGCATATACCTTTGGCAATTTGATTACCAGATTGCGGTAGCGTGTTAACCTTTGGTAATCCGAATACAAGAATACAAGTAGCGCATATACATTTGGCAATTTGATTACCAGATTGCGGAAGCGTTTTAACCTTCGGAAATCCAAATACAAGAATACAAATACATTTGGCAATTTGAATAGCAGATTACTGTAACGTGTTAACCTTTGGTAATCCAAATACAAGAATACTAATAGCGCATATACATTTGGTAATTTGATTACCAGATTACTGTAACGTGTTAACCTTTGGTAATCCAAATACAAGAATACTAGTAGCGTATAGACTTTTAGTAATTTGATTAGCAGATTACTGCAACGTGTTAACCTTTGGTAATCCAAATACAAGAATACTAGTAGCGCATATACATTTGGTAATTTGATTAGCAGATTACTGTAACGTGTTAACCTTTGGTAATCTAAATACAAGAATACTAGTAGCGTATAGACCTTTAGTAATTTGATTAGCAGATTACTGTAACGTGTTAACCTTTGGTAATCCGAATACAAGAATACTAGTAGCGCATATACATTTGGTAATTTCATTAGCAGATTGCTAAAGCTTGTTAACATTTGATAATCCGAATACAAGAATACTAGTAGCGTATAGACCTTTGGTAATTTGATTAGCGTATTGCAGAAGGGTGTTACCCTTTGGTAATCCGAATACAAGAGTACTAGTAGCACATATACCCTTGGTACTCTGAATACGAGAATACTAGTAGCACATAAACCTTTGGTAATATTAGTTCGTCGTGATTCTTATTGATTTAAATAAACCAGATTTTGTTTTGTACCCAGGACATAATTGGGTTGTTACGATTAAATCCCAAATTTTTCTATTGCGAAAGTTTGGTGTTGTCTGGGTTTATATTGATCTACCAGGGGTTGTAATCTGGCAGCACATTTATCCATCCACGCACGCTTCATTCATACTGAGAAGAGGGTTGACAAGATTCCAACTTCTTAGGCCGGAGAATTCTTCTGATAAACTGGAATGAGGCAAGGGTGTCATACATACAGGAAACATCACACTCATTGCTCCCAATCATTTGCTAGTCCGGATTGGATACCTCCAGGTACCTTTCCTCTCTTCATCATCATTCACTTGGATCAATTCACTGAAAGCTTCTTTCTTGTTGAGTAGAAAGCATGCACCCTTTCGCTGCTAGAGTTGTTGACAGCCGCCCCTTTTTCCTCCTACATCCATCAGGTGGTAATATCTGCTGAAGAAGATGTCGGCTTCAGATGTTTTTAAACCACAGGTGCTTTGGAGTATGGGAATCAAATCCGTGAACACCAGTCTGGACACCATACCAGTTACTGGTTGTGGACAAGTGTGCTTAACTTCAGTGATCTAAAGAGAACTGGTGTCACACACTAGCCAACCCAATATTAATATTTGATGTTTAGGTATCCCAACAAAGGAGCCAAAATATTGAAAGAAATTCTCAACACCAATTACAATCTACTGAAAGTGAGTTTATTTATTTACTATGAGGTCGGAACTTTTGCTGTCTTAATCCTGGTCACTTGATCTCGATATCCACAGTGGGCGTTTTTAATTTGAGGATATTTTACAAACTATACCATTAACTACACTCTAAATTAGAAAATCATAATTACGCAATAAATGTGGCCTAATCGGGTGAAAAAGTTGGATGTCACCCGATTAGGCGACAAAAAAATCAATTTTAACATAAATCGCTTATTTAAGAAAAAATCGCTTATTTAAAAAAACGTTAATTTTCAACCCAAAAAATTGCTTATCTTGCAGAAGATGTTAGTGACTGCCAAATAAGCTACACATAATCGCTAATTTTCAACCAAAAGTATCGCTTATTTTTAACATAAAAACGCATTTTTTCAACGAAATCGCTTATTTTCCACACAAAAATCGTTTTCATTCAACGAAAAAAATCTTTTAATTTAACAAAAAGCTGGCTTATTTTCAACAAAAAATTGTTTATATTTAACAAAAAAGTTGCTTACATTTAACCAAAAAATCAACTCTAAAACGCCTTATTATCCTCTCGGGCCCCAACCTCCAAAATTTGTCTTGTCCAAGTCTAACACATATCGGCAATATTGCTTTTGTTTCCGGATCAGAGAACGGATTTTTACAGTAAATAGAACCGGCGGGGGGGGGGGGTGTTTTAAGAAATTCTTACCTTCACTTTTGTACTCTCTATGATCAACGCCCCTTTTAACCCCTGGAGCGGTACTATTGCTATTCGGGATATCAAAAATCAAAATTTTATTTCCAAATCTCGAATTTATTTAGGATCTTAAGGCTGATGTATCAGGGATGAATATTCCTGATCCGAGCTCCGTTCAAGATGGGGTTGATCCAAGATCCTTTCAAGACCATCATGAAGACAGTGTAGAAAAAACTGCTAAAACCCTGCAGGCCTGCAAGGTCAGTAATTAAAAAAAAAATTAACATCAGGGAATGAATAACAATAAATCACAAATCTAAAAGGTTTGGGATCCAGTTTTTTTGCCAAAACTTTTCCATTGAATAATTCAATTATTTTAATAAAAATGAGAATTAATTTTTTTGATAAATAGATTTTTTTTGTAAATTCGATTTATCGATGATTAATTGATTTTCTTGATTGATTAATTAATTGATATTTCTTGATTAATTAATTGATTATTTCTTGATTAATTAATTGATTATTTCTTGATTAATTTCTTGGATGATTTAATTATTACTTATTGATTAATTGATAAAAATTTTTATTGTCTAGGGTGAGTTTCTAGATTGTGAAAAGAGAGCTAAACGAATAATAAAAGCCTACAATATTCTACGCAACAATCGATCATAGTTTTACAAAATAGTTTTTTCTTTTTTTCATTCTCTTTATTCTTGAAATTATGAAATTATGAAACTAATGACGACCTGAAGTTAAACAATATTTTGTATAATGTTTATTAAAGTACCTGATAAGAAATTAACAATTAAATCATGTGAAATTAAATTATATGACCTGAGCTGAAAACTTTAGAATGGTGGATATCGAGATCAATGCTTGATCTCCTCTTTTTCTTAATCTCCAGATTAAATATTGCTTGTTCTCCTCATGTTATTAATCTCCAGATTAATTAACCGATCAGGATTAAGGATATCCCGTTCTAAAGTTTTCAGCTCTGAGCAGGGAACTTTTGTATTGGATACCGATATCCACAGTCGGCACTTAGATTTTGGATATCCACAGTCGGCACTTAGATTTTGGATATCCACAGTCGGCACTTAGATTTTGGATATTCACAGTCGGTACTTAGATTTTGGATATCCACAGTCGGCACGTAGATTTTGGATATTCACAGTCGGTACTTAGATTTTGGATATCCACAGTCGGCACTCAGATTTTGGATATTCACAGTCGGCACTTAGATTTTGGATATCCACAGTCGGCACTTAGATTTTGGATATTCACAGTCGGCACTTAGATTTTTGATATCCACAGTCGGCACTTAGATTTTGGATATCCACAGTCGGCACTTAGATTTTGGATATTCACAGTCGGTACTTAGATTTTGGATATCTGCAATTTCTCTGGCTTCTGTTTGGCTGTTCGGTTTTCCACTGTCAACTGTCGACACTCTTCACTAGATATTGAATAAAAATTGAAATAATCTAGATTCAGTAAAGAACGAAATCAAGCATTGATCTCGATATCCACAATACAAGATTTCCCACCTCTTAGGGCGAAACTTTTGAACTCCACACAAAGTGTTTTCTTTTAAATTGAAGAATTTAAGTTTAAATCCGGGCATACTGCATGTACTAGAAATCCTTTCATAGATAATTGAGAAAGGATCTGAAGATGTTCAGGGTTAACCGTCAAGGATAAGATTTCAGACACGACTGTACAAAATGTATACTATATCTTCTCTTATAATCATAATTTCTGCAAATAACTCATTCCTTTCTTTGACAAATCATTAAATATCCCATTTTAAACCAGCATTCGAGACAAAAGTCATGATCTAAACTTGGAATCGACATTTTTGTAAACGTTTCAAGTCGTCTTCACAGTTTCAACCTTTGTGGGTAAACCTGTATTTAAATATTGAACAACTACTTTAAGGGGTATAAAAACCGTCTGAAGTCACCGATTTAAAAACATAAGTTACGTAGTTTGTTCAATACGCTTAAAATATTCTGACATAATACGCTTAATATCCATAACGATGTAAGATTTAGAACTGTAAATATAAAAAAGATACTTAAAAATATTCATAATACAATCTAAATAAAAATTATTGAAAAATCGATTATAACTTTATTTCAAATAATTTTATATTTTCTGAACATATTGTAAATGTTTGTATGTTATGTACATATGGTTTGTATGTTATGTACATATGGTTTGTATGTTATGTACATATGGTTTGTATGTTATGTACATATGGTTTGGCAAGTTTTTTTTGAAGAAGTGGGTCTTCTGCTGAGAATCATTGATGGTACTATTTTCTAATAGGGCATAAATCAATCTTTTGGTCAATAATAGGTGAGCATTCGCAATATTTTTTTTTCACCTAATTTTCATTTATTTCGTCCGGACTGTTCTTTTTTCCTTAATATATTCCAACCTACATGTAAATGTCATGACGTGGTTCAAAAAAAACGAAGGAAAAAAGTTATTAAAAGTACATTTATGAGGATGCAAAAAATGGAGGACGAAAAGCGAGACCGACTGCCGAGAACTTTTGTTTGTTATATGTTTTATAGACCAGACGAAAGTTGGGTGCGATATGTACCACTGTACAGTGTACATATCTGTTCAGTGTGACACGTACAAGTACAACCGGTTGCTAAGGCACCAGTTACTCGTGCAAATTTGGCGGGAAAGCCGTAACTGAGAAGTGAGAACTGCGTTTAGTAGTTACTACACACTCATGGTCTCTCCTACATCCATCCAGCTTTCTCTGTTCTTTATTAATTGTAGGAACACTGTTTAATATTAATCGGAGGCTATTTCTTGTACGTTGTGTTGTGAATATAGTAATATGTCATAAATAAATATTGATATTTTAAGTTCAGAATACTTATCTAGACAAATGTATTGCTGGCATTTTTTTTTCTTTTTTGTCATGGTCGGGGTTTCCGAAATTATCCGGTTTTGATAAATAATTAATTTGAAAACCTCCAAAATGTCAAAGTATTAATAATTAACCAACATATCAGGCCAAATTTACCTGTACCAGGTATACTGCTATCTTTGGAATATCAAAGCTACGCTACTTTCTTTTTATTTTTTTTTTATCCGAAATTCTTAAATTCCAAACTATAAACTTGAATATTGAACAACCATTTTCATCTTCTCAGTTTGAAGCTTTTTGTAGAAATGTTACCGAGAACCAGAATACTCCGGAATAAGAGTATATAGGAAGAATATGAGACTCAATTGTCCGGACTTAAAATAGTGCAGTGTACACAGACCCAATTCACATATTAAGTGATTTTGAAAGTTACTGTAAATCTACTTTAACAGTCCTGAGAGAGTGTTGGTTTAAATAAAATCATATAATTCATTTAAAAAATTGAAAGCCGATAAAAAAGAAGCAACGTTTTTTTCAGCTTAATGATATGCATTGCATGAACAACTTTTCTTAGCTAATGCAATGAAACAATATACAAACCTTTCAATAAGTTGTTTGTATCTACATGCTAGGCTATCTTCTATTTCTACTCTTAATAGTTGCTTAATCCTTTAGCATCTTTTTATTGATAAAAACACACTAAGAAAACAATTTTAGGATGTACAATTTTTTCGTTGATTTTCAAACTGTTATTAAAGTCTAAAAATTGTTGGAGACCATTTTTGTAATATTGAGCATCCATAAACATTCCTTGGGGTCATGTGAGGCCCCACAAACAATTTGGGCCCGACCGATTCAGCCGTTTTGATGTGCATTGGATACTGGCGGATAGACAAGCAAAGTATATATACTAGGGTTAAAGTGCGCTTCGCGCCAATCTTCTTTTTCAACTTTTAATAGTGGCTTTATCTCAGAGCATCTTATCTTTGTACAGTATAAAACTGCAAAACAAAAAAAAAGATTGCGGATTTCATAATATTTTTTTGCGCATCTTCAAAATTTTACAAAAATAAAAAACACAAATTTTTAGAATTTTGATCATACAAAAACCTTCCCTGTGGTCACTTGAGGTCCCACACAAAATTTGGGCCCGATCGGTTCAGCCGTTTTGACGTTTATTGGATACAAACAAACAGACAGACAAGCCAAATTTATATATAGATATAGATGAAAATACAACAACAAAATTTTATTCCAGAAAATGCTGAAAAGCAATAAATGGGGAAAATATTTGGAGATGTTCTGAAAATGATTTAACACCTCCTCAAGATGGGAAATACATTATGTACAGATATAAAAGCTTGGGAACCTAGGAATAAATATGGACAAACCATCTATGTTGTCGAAGGAAGAAGTCCTTCCCCCTCTGGTAAACTTAATTTTTGTACTGTTATCAACAAATTTCATTTATTTTTTAAAATTAAAAAACCTTCTCTTTTATTACTTCTAAACTTTTAAAAAAGCTTGTCAACAATCAAAACTTTAATAAAGAATGCGTCTTCGTTGTATTGATATAATCGCCTACCACTTTATAAATGTTGAATTTAGAAATCCAAGGATGGGATGATATTCCTATAGTTATACTTCAGCATATTCTGAAGGTAAGTTCACATTTGGAACTTTTTTAACTTACATTTAAATATCCTTCATATCTTTTTAGCATGATTTGATATGTTTTTTACAATTTCCCCATTGTTTGCGCTGTTGAAATCGACCGATCCCTTTTGTAGAGAACCCAGAATTGGAAATAATAAATTTTCTAAGAAAAAACTTGGATATTTTAATCAGAATTTTTTACGGATATTATTGTCACGTGATTGTAAACCGGACACGCCACCCTATATTGAATTATTATACAACAAAAATTAGTTGTTTTTAATCCAACTTCATGTCACTTTAGCAATTATAGTTATACATTTGAAAGGTTAAGTTTTTTCATTTTTAAAATTATGAAATATAAACTCAATGAAAAGGTATAAATATTAAAACAAGCAGTAAAATGTTAATTCAGTTTAAAACAGTGCTAAATTAACAAACTGATATTTAATTTAGGAAAGTTTTAAACTTCTTGAAAAATTTAGATTTTATTTTGAAGTACCTTTATGATTAAGAGTATTTGAATAAAGTGAACAGTTCCATTAAGATCCTCTTTTATGTTTAAGTATTTGAAAGAAGTAAACAAACCCTTTAAGTTCCTCTGTTTAAAATAAGTAAACAAACCTTTAAGTTCCTAGCTGTTTAAGATAAGTAAACAAACCTTTAAGTTCCTCTGTTTAAGATAAGTAAACAAACCTTTAAGTTCCTCTGTTTAGAATAAGTAAACAAACCTTTAAGTTCCTCTGTTTAGAATAAGTAAACAAACCTCTAAGTTCCTCTGTTTAAAATAAGTAAACAAACCTCTAAGTTCCTCTGTTTAAAATAAGTAAACAAACCTTTAAGTGCAAAGATGGCAATGCCCGAGATACAACGGTACCCTTGAAATCTTAATCTGATCAAATATGTGGAAAATACAAAAAGTGTTTATTTCTGCGAGTTTATCTTTTGCTTTTTAAAAGAAACAAATGTGTGCAAGTCACTTTCGTAGAGAAACCCTTATGATAAAATTCATACTTGATCAGACAAAGCTTTCATGGGTACCGTTGTAAGTAGATCGGACATTGCCATCTTTGCATGGAGGCTCACTTGAAATAACGCTAACAGTCCCTTTAAGATCCTCTTTTATGTTTCAGTATTTGCATTTGGAAGATCTGAAGACATTTCGCCAAGTTAGTTCAACCATGAGAAGAAGAATTGATAAAATTAACAACTCCTTCACAAATTGGACATTAGGGACATTTAAAATTTAATATGGAAAAATATTCTAAATTTAGTAAACATATTTGCAGGAATCCATAAAATAGTTCTAATATTGTTGTATAAAGATAATATACAGGGTGTCCCAATAAACATGGAAATTGAGAGACTGCATGACCACTATTCAGGAAATTTCATACTCTAGCAATCCTGAGTATTTAATGTTTACTCTATAATAGTTCCATCTGCCATAATTACGTAGCTATCATTACACTTGCTCATTGTTCATTGGCGTTTACAGGGGCGGGGGCACATTATGACAAATTTTGACCCTGAAAACAACCTTAAAACAAAGCATCATTGGTAAGATAAAATTAAGCCCCCTATGAACCAATTTCTGTGCAAGCCCATGCACTTGCAATAGTATATTTTGACAGAATTAACGCTTGCATGCAGAAATCAAAATGTGGCTTCATTTGCCAGAACAGCTAATTGATTTGGTCATCAAGGGACAATTTTACGAAAAGGCAACATTTTGGCAAGTGTTACTAAAAGCAAGTGTTTCCTATGTAAAAGTTAATATGGCAAGTGGAGAAAAGTTAGAGTAATGGCAAGTGCATGATAATGTGAAAATGTAAAAATGACAATCTAGGCTTTTTAGTTTTAAAGTACATTGTGTCTCTTCTTCTCTTAACTTATTCAGCTTTTAATGCAGATTCCATTTCCTTATATTCCTTAATGTTGTTCAATTCGCAATTTTCTTTGTATACATATGTAGTAATAGTGTAAAACACAAACATTCGTGGATTTTTTGATTCAGCCGTTTTGACGTTTATTGGATAATGACAGAAAAGTAAAATATGTTTGTAGATTAAACAGCTTTATGGACTTCATGAGAATAGAAAATTCTGTAACTCCTGCAAATTTTTAGTTTTGATAGATTAGTTTATTAACATGTTTAAAAATATTAAATTTTAAATTCTTCTTCTACAGGGGACATCAAACTAGAGGAATTCAGTAAATTCTCCAGAGATGTCTCCAAAATTAAAGGTTTCCATCTCAAAAAATAAGCCTATTAGTTGATTGTAGACTTGAAAGTCGTACTTGAACTTGAAAAAGTTTGCAGCATTCGCTATCGACAACCTATTTTTAGCGATGTTTTTTTGGAAACATAAAAAACAAAATAGCCCTAATCTACCGTTTTTGCATTAAAAAATATCAGGGATATTAAGAATTTAGTTTAAATTTCAACAAAATTGCAGTTCAGTTTCACATTTTGGAAAAGGCAGGACTAGGGCTATTTTGTGATTATTGAGGCATAAAAAAAATATTGCTGAAATTAGGTTGCCAATAGTGAATGGCGCAATTACAATTCCTTAGGTCAAAGACGACTTTCAAGTTTTCAATTCCTTTAATCAATTAATATCATTCTGGTTTATTTAGTAAAGCTTCGTATAATAAAGAATTGTTATTGTAGAAGTGGAAGTTGAAAGTTTGATGGGGGATACAAGAGACTGTGATGAAAGTGTAAAGTGTTTAGTGGAGAGACATCCCGAAATAGAATCAATTAAAATTGGAGTTCTTTATGGAAATCTGAACAGGATATCTGACGAAGGACTTCAAGCCATCTTGACGTTGAAACATCTAAAGACAGTAAAATTGTACAACACTGGTATAACAGGGGAAGGTGTTGATGACCTTTTAATTTCAGCTTTGAACATTCAAACCTTTGGGATTATCAACTGTCATGGATTGACAGATGAAGGGCTGGCGGAGGTTCTCAGAGTTATAGGGGTAAATCTTGAGCGGTTATATCTTCGCTCAACTGGTATTTCTGGAGAATACAACTTCCCTGCTACATTTCCCAATATATTGGAGCTGAATCTGTTTTACTGCTGGAATCTCTCAGACAGAGGTCTTTGCATATTTCTGAAGAAGTGTGGTCCTAAACTCAAGCAGTTAGACTTGGGATGTAACAACTTCACAGGCGAGAGCCTTGCAGAGTTTAGTGGCTCTTTTCCCAAAGTAGAAAAGCTGAATCTGGAATATTGCATGCACTTGACAGATAGCGGACTTTGTAACATACTGACAATATTTGGCAACTCCTTGAAATATCTGGATCTAAACACTACGCCCATTACTGGAGAAGGATTATCAGAGTTCAGATTAACTCTGTCAAACCTACAAAGGCTTGATTGTTATGGCTGTAGGTCTCTGACAGATAAAGGGTTGTGTGAAATATTCCGTATTTGTGGCGGTTCTTTGTCCGCCTTAAAAGTGCTCCACACATCAGTGTCGGGAGAAGGCCTTTCAGAATTCCAGGACAGTCTTCCAAACATTACTAAACTGGATTTTTCCTGTTCAAATTTAACAGACCAGGGATTGATTGAGCTCTTTCGAATCAGCGGAAATAATCTTAAAACCTTAGATATTCAAGAGACTAAAATCACTGGCGAAGGACTCGCTAAATATGACTCAACTGATCTCAGCATTGAGCAACTTAATTTGCTCTGGTGTGAAAGTTTAACTGACAGAGGCCTTAATGAATTTCTCCGACTTTTCAGTCACAGTTTAAAGCTGCTGAACATAGGCTACACAAGTCTAACAGGGAAGTTTCCCTTCAAAGGTACAATGGCGAACATAGTCAAGTTGGACTTGTCAGGCGAGTCTATCAGAGACAAGGTTCTCTTCAAGATGTTGGCAGCTAGTGGACCCAATCTTAGATACTTAGACCTTAGATCTTCTCACGTTACATGTGAAGGCTTGACAGCCTATGACACAAATATGTCCTCTATTGTTGAAATTAATCTCTCTCACTGCAAATACATCACAAACAAAGGTCTATTTGAGGTAATGGAGTTATGCAAGGACAGCCTTCACTACCTGGATATAAGCAACACAATAGTGTCTCTGGATGGAATAGGGAAGTTTCAAGCTAACCTTAATACTTTAGAAGAACTAAATTTGTCTGGCTGTGAAAAGATAAACGACCAAAAGTTGAATGAACTGCTGCGTATATCTGGTGACGCTTTAAAGCGTCTGCTCCTAGATGGAACAAGCATTTCAAACAAGTACAAAGTAGAAATAAGTGAGAAATATCCAGATGTATCTATATCATAAGTTCTAATGCAGGATAACCAGATCACCATATTTTTATCATAGAATTTTTATTTTTCAATAGTCATATGTTACAGAAAGATGAAAAATTGCTGGATAAAGTACGGTTAGAGGATTAACAATGGGGAATGGACTATGTGGAGGTGGCTCACCAGTGAATAATGAGTATGATGATGTAGTTATTAGATGCACAACAGGTATATATTTTCAATTTAAATTTTTTAGTTCTTTTTAAATACTGCTTGGAAACACAGCTTTGCCCGAAAAATCTTATCTTTTAAACAAGACTAAACAGTAGTCGACATAGTTAATTTAGAATGTCTTAACAAAGATAAAACATTACAGTAGTCTTAAAAAGGTCCCCTTACTATTTGAGGCAAATCGGTCATATGGTTTAAAGTTATGATCGGACAGACATACTGAGATAACTACATATTTATATACAGTGAAACCCTTAATATCGAATACATCGGAAGAATTTATCAAATGTCGTCTTGACAATTTTTCAATGAGTTTTATACTACATTACGTAAATTTCAGTATTTCAGAAAATAAATAAATAGCCATGAATATGCGGGAACAGTTTTAAAGAGTTCCATATAATCATTTAATTAAAAAACTAAATATCTGCAACATTCCATTATCAGAAAGTGAAGAATACGACATTTGATGAATTCTTTTGATGTATTCGTTATTAAGGGTTTCACTTTAGATAATTAAAACTCAAATTAAAGAAATGTTATCATTTAGATTATTTTCTGAATTTCGCATTTTATCTATGTAATATCTTTATAGGGGCCTTGAGGAAAAAAGTTAATTTTAATCAACACATTAGTTATTAGTTTTATACCTTTAAAGTTTCAAATGTTTGAATGATTATAATGTACAGGATCTGATGGTATAAACTTTCATAAGTTCATAACTTGAAATATCAAAAACCTTGGGATTAAAAAATCAGAGTTTGTGGGAAAACTTCCTTTGTAAAAATATAACATTTAGATGCAGAAAGTTGGGATAACTTGCCTACCAAAATCCTTAGAATAATTTTACAGGTAACTTAGAAATATCAAATCATGACAATACAGGGGTATCCGCAAAGAATTTGGCTATAAAGACGACTTCAAACTCTTCAAATATGACGATCATAAGTTAAAATTATCACGGGTAGCCGTAGTACATTTGAAAATCCGAGTCGGGTCAATCTTTCCGGTCCCAGTTTTTACCGTACCTAGCTCTAAGGACAGGACTAGCCGGTGCAACTAAAGAAGCAGAGGTGCGTGTCATGTGATTTGCCTTGAATGTGGTTATTTGATAATTGGGGAAAGGAAGAAGATTATAATTGCAGGAAATCATGAATATAAGATAATAAGGAAACTGATGCACAAACTCGTTAAAGTCTCGTCCCTTGTCACGGGCAGCCGCAGTACATTTGAATTTCCGAGCCGGGTCAACCTTTCCGGTCCCAGTTTGTACTGTATCGCCTGGACATGGGTTAAATAAAGCTGACACTGAATAGGACTAGCTGGTGCAACAAGGTTGACGCGTCAGACATTAGGTTGAGTTTACTTTTTCTAAAGGGTGAGAGGTGCGTATTGCGAGAAACCCTATAACTGATGTAAATATAAAAATCAAGAACTAGAATTTGTCACTAACAATTAGTTATGAAATATTGCCGATGACAATTTAGTTTTGGATTGCGTTGACAAGTTTAGAATGATTCTGTTAATATATATATACAGCAATAAACTATATGAAATAAACAAAAGAAAATAATCTGAGATATATAAGATATATAAATAATTGCAAATTCGAATTTTTCCCATACACAAAAAGTTTTTATTCAATTTTAGGAAAGTTTGAACAAATTTTGCTAAAAAATTGCCCTTAACTTTGATAAAAATACATGCAGTAAATAAAATTTAACGCAAGTCACGTGGATTTAACGGTTCTGTCAATATTTTAGAAAGCTGTGACTTTCAATCCCAATTTTACCCCTTATAAATAATTTTCTAAACTTTTTTAAAATACTTTTTGTCGGCATATACATTTTGAATGAAAAAGAAAAAAATAAACAAATCCGTAAGTTTAAAGATTGTTGAATGATTGACCAAAACACGTTTTATTTCAAATAAAAAAAACCAAATGCTTCTCACTCTGGTTAGTTTGGGGTGAAGTATGTATACAAAATATGTATCATTTTCTTATATCAGTAACATATAACAACAGAGGCATTAGAAAATATTTTTTTGTCCTACCAATACGATTTATTGTTGTGGCATGCACCCAGATAAAATTTGAATTCATACAATTAAGTTATCTACAGGGTTACCCACAAAAGATGAGACTTCAGAGACGATGTACGAAATTTAACCTGTCTGCCCCTAGTGCCTATTTATATTTATGATTAGCTGCATTTGTAAACTTGTTTCTTTGCCAAATCATTATAAAAACCATACAAAAACTATTTTCAATTCAGAAAACTAAACTCTAAGGAATTAAGTTTTTGACAAACTCTGATTTTCTATAATCCCTAAATCTTTGCAAACCATTTGTTGTAGAGCAAATATATTTCAAACTATAAATTTTACTAGATCAAATATCAAAGTTTGAAATATCATCAGATTGAAAAAATATAGGAATTATAAATTTGAGTTTATGGAAAAGATTTAATTTCTTTGGGATGGTCATATTTCAAAAGTTTTACGTCATTTTTGCAGTCTCAACCTTTGAAGGTAACCCTGAAGCCACAAATCAAGTATTGTGCTATTACTGCGCATATTGTGAATGAAAACCTTATACAGAATATATAGATTTTGCTTTACAATGTTCCTTGTGAATAAATTATTAACAACATATTAGTTCATTCAAGGTTAAAAATATTACTTTAGAAAGCTCAACATTAGACTGTCATATTATACATATTTGAAAATCAATATTGTTAAGCTCTGAAAGGGACTGTAAGCTTAATTTCGAACAGGCAAACTGGTAATGTCCTATTCACAATGGTGCCCTTAAAAGCTTTCTCTGATCAAGACTAAATTAGATGTCAATTGTTATAATTTTGAAAACTGATTATTTTGAATTTTTTGAATTAAAAACGTTTATGCCTAGAAAAAACAACAATATCCTCATATTATTGATCAGATAAAAAATTCAAGGGTACCGTTGTGAATCGGACATTACCATCTTTACATTAAGTGTCAATTTAAAATACGCTTTCAGTTCCTCTAAGGGAGCCGAAAAAACTTTCCTGTGGTTCCGTTATTTGGAAAATTAAGATCTTTTACTCACCAATTCATTTCTTTTTGATAACAAATATACAATTGCATAATTAATCTATATAATAAAACAAGACATTCTTATAAATATGTTGCATATAGCCGGCCAAACGGCTGGACCGATTGGGCTGAAATTTTTTTCTGTATACTTATGGGTGACCGGGGGGTGTCATAGGCTAAAATAATCAAAATAATTTTTTTCAAAATTTAAAAAAAAATTTTGAGTATTTTTTTCAATTTTTTTTTACTACGGGCAACGCCGGGCCCTTCAGCAAGTATACAATAAATTGTAAGTTGTATTGATGATATTTTTTGTAATTCATATTGATGATATTATCACACTCCCGCCATATGAAAAGCACACAACATCTTTAAATATACAACACTGCAAACTAGAAGAAATAGGTCAAATTAATTTATTATTATTATTAATTATTAAAGAGGAATTATTTTATTTCCTAATAAGATGGAGGCATAATTCTTAGATTCACAACATAAAAGTTCTGAAATGAGGTCGTTTTGATCTTTGTTCTTTTCGTTTCAAGGTCCGTTTTCAGACATTTAGGGGTTTTTTGACGTTTAAATTGTTTAAATCTCTTCAAATCTATCTGTTTATTGATCTAGGACATAAATAAATCATAATAACTTATCTACCTTGATATCATGATTTTATTAAATTATTATTTAATAAAAAATTATTTTAGATAAATTTTACAATGTGCTTATTGATACATTTTATCAATCCTTGACTTATATCTTGAAAAAAAGTTTATAATAATTTCAAACATAAAAATTAATTGTCTGTTTCGAAATTCCAAGTGTAAGTGCAATTTAAATGTGGTTTAAAGTACCTTTAGACCACTATCTACTAGCTAAAAGGCCCGGTGTTGCCTGTGGAATTTTTAAAAAATCTTTTTAAAATTATTTTTTTATTTTTAAGAAAAAAAAATCTATTTTTACTCCAATGTTACCCCATGGGTACGCATGGATTTCCTCAAAAAAATTGGCCCATTAGTTCCAGCTAACATATTTATTATTTATATATAAATATTTATACACATATCAGCGAAGAGCTTTATTATATATTAGCTTAAAGGCCCGGTGTTACCCATGGAAAAAAGAGAAAATTTTCGAAAAAAAAATTTGAAAAAAATGTAAATTTTTTTAGCCTATAAAACACCCCGGCCACCCAGTAGTGTACATAAAAAAATTCAGCCCAATCGGTCGAGCCGTTTGGCCGGCTATACGCAACATATATGAATGTCTTGTTTTATCTTATTGCCCGTGGAAAAAACAAACAAAAAATGTTGAAAAAAATGGAAAAAGAAATTAAAAAAAAAATGTCGAATTTTTTTTGTTGCTTTTAGCACCCCCCGGCCACCCATGAGTGTCCACAAAACGTTTCAGCCCAATCGGTCCAGCTATACGCAACATTTATATGTCTGTTTGTCTGTCTGTCTATCTGTCTGTCTGACCATTTGTATCCAAAAAACGTCAAAACTGCTGAATCCACAAAATTTCTTTCTAATAAAATCCGCAAATTTTTGTTTGTTTTCGTTTTACAGTGAATTCAAAGAGAAAATGTTCACAGTTGAAATAGAAGAACCCCCTAAAAGCCTGTTATAGATATAAATAAGATATTAATTACTTGAAGTAAATGTTGAAATTAAAAGGACTGTAAGCTTAATATCAAGTGACCCTCCATGCAAAAATGGCAATGCTCGATTCACAACGGTATCCTTGAAATCTTTGTTTAATAAAGTACGAATAAGATATCGATGTTAATAATTTCGAAAGCTAATTTTTTTCAATTTTGGATTTTGTGCAAAAGTGACTTGCGCATTTCTACTGTAGGTAAAAATTTACAATTATCAGAAACAATACTTTTAAACTTATTGATCAGTTAAAGAATCGGGCTTTAACATTTTTGTTTGAAGGGTCTCTTGAAATTACGCTTATACAGTCCCTTTAAGGGGATTTTTAAAATCAACAGAAAACTCACTCATCAACCAGATTTAGCCTGAATTTAATCAGTTACAAGAAAAAACAGAAAAGGATGAGAATAGAATTATATTTGTAATTCATGAACTTTCATCCTAACTTAAACGTTTATTTTTTTTGGAATTTTAATTTTCAAAGATGAACATTTAAAAATAGTATTATTTAGTATCTTGAAGTTGATGACCTAAAGCATCTGCGGCTGGTCAGCTGGAATTACAAGCAGAGAATAGATCAAGTCAATGAAACATTCACCCACTGGGTTTTAGGTAATTATTTTTAGGGAGGGCAGGAAGGCCAGCCACAACAATTTCTCGTCCGAGACACATTTTCTTCATTTATTGGTCCGAGCCACCTCAAAATCCTCTTCCTTCCCATATTATCTTTTTTTTTAATGTCTAATTATCCAATTATCCAATTATCTGGGCACTTTTGGTCATCATAAAGGAACTGAGTTTTTACCACACAGTCAAACTTTCTAATGCCTACATCTTTGCAACATGATGGTGTAAACATGTTATATTTCAAACTTAGACACTTTGATTAACAGAATTCATAGTTTGAAATATCAAGGGTATACAACATCGGGTTGCACAGATATAGAGATTCGAAATCAGAGTTTGTGACAAAAACTCGGTTCCTTTAATTTTAAATATTTGTAAATTGTTTACTCAATTTCGTTCATTTTCAGATATTCCTAGTATAAGATGCCGCGAATTATTCCGATACAATTTTTTTTGTTAAATCATACCATAAACCATCAATTTTTTCCGGGTGTTTATAGACATGGTTGCCCACACAGGATGAGACTGTAATGACGACCTGTAACTTTTTAAATATGACGATCCCTGGCTTAAATGAGTCTTCTGTCCTGAATGTAGTCTTTTAACAGCGTATTTAATGATTTAAAAAAGAAAGCAACAAGTTTAAAGTTGGAAGAAATCAAGGATAGAAGGAAACAGAGAGTTTAAATTCGTCCAGTCTTCTCTGAAGTCTCATCCATTGCGGGTAACCCTGTAGGCTCAATTACGCAGGCAAAAGACATTTAATTTTTACCTAAATAAAGTTTGACATCATTCCCATGAATTCGAAGATTCCAACATGATGCAATCATTACAATACTTTAGTCTAACCATTTTTTATGCCCTAAGGTGGCCGGATATGATAAAAATAATCTTATCTTCAAGAATTGGAGACTACCAAAAATAATAAGGAAAGGGCGAGGATTTTGAGGTGGCTCAGACGAGAATATGAGGAGCTTTCTTGGGTTTCCAATTAAGAGAGACATGTCCGATTCACAATGGTACCTTTAAAAGTAATAAAGCATTTACGTGTACACTGTACAGTCCCTTTAAAAGTAAGATTAAAATTTTCTTATTTTTTAAATTGAATATTCAGGAGACTTGGAGTCAGAGAAATTGATTCAGTTCTGTGATGATGTTCAGAAGGTGCAAGGTACATACATCCAGTGAGAACCAGAAAACTCTGGAATAAACAGACGACATGATTAAGTGGAACTCATGTTAAATGGGTCTGTTTACACTGCATAATTGTGCATCATAATTTCGTTTTCCTATTTCAGAGTTTTCTGGTGCTCCTGCAGTATTAAAATTAAAGTTATTTAATGAAAGGATTTTCTGACATAAGAAATATTTTGATGTAATGGTGTGAAATAGAATCTTGCATCATGAAATTAGATTAAATATTTTTTTCTTGAAAATACCAATTATCTCAACCAAGTATTTCTGGATTATCAAAAAGGAATTTACTGCAAAAGTCAAGAGAGGAGGTTTCAAATTTCGAAATCTACTGTTAAACTTTCCAAAAAAATTGGGTATTAAGTTTTGGTCAACATAAATTGAGTCTTTACCACAAACTCTGATTTTATAGTTTTTATATCTTTGCAACCCAATGTCGTAGGCCTTTAAATACTTCAAACTATAAACGCTGTTAGATCAAATAATTTAAGCTTGAAATCTCAAAGGTTTACATCATCAGATTGAAAAGATATATGGATTATAAAATGTGAGTTTATGGCGAAGACTCAATTCCTTTGATAATTGATAATTTGATAATATATATAACTGTTTAGGCTTGTCAGTAGAAAACCTGATAGGTGACCCACAAAGCTGTAATCTATGTGTTCACTATCTAGCAAAGTCTCACCGCGAACTGGTGACCCTGTTCATGGATTCTCTATATGGGAATCCAGGAGGGATGTCTGATGAAGGTTTAAATGATGTTCTGTCTCTAGAAAATCTGAAATTTCTGAAGCTGTATAATACTTCCATAACTGGAGATAGGTTAGACTCAGGTCTAGGACGGTCTAGCAGTCTAGAGACCTTTTCCTTGATAAACAGTCATCAATTGACGGACCATGGACTCTCAAAAATACTGGGGGTTATTGGAGAAAATCTGAAAGCTCTAAATCTGAGATCTACAGGGATCACTGGAGAGTTTAATTTCATCACTAGCCTAACCAACCTTACAGAGCTTAAACTCTATTATTGTTGGAACTTGACAGATAAAGGACTCAATCAGATTCTTAAAATATGCAACCATGATAAACTGTCTCATCTTGATATAGGATGTAGTAGTGTTACAGGAGAGGGACTGTCTGAACTTACTCAGAGTTTTAACAAGGTGAAACGTATAAATTTTGAATATGGATCAAATCTAACTGATAAAGGGTTGTGTCAAATATTCCGTGTGTTTGGTGGATCTTTAAAGAGCTTAGATCTGAACAATTCAGCCATAATTGGAGAAGGGTTATCAGAGTTCACTGAAACATTGTCAAACTTACAGGATTTATATTGTTATGATTGCTCTGATTTGACGGATAAGGGGCTTTGTGAGATATTCAGAATATGCGGAGACTCACTTGTATCATTTAAAGCATTCCTATGTCCTGGAATATCTGGTGAAGGATTAGATGGTTTTCAGGGTGTTTTACCCAGGCTGGTAAAACTAGACTTGTCTCACACAAATCTAAATGATGACGGTCTAGTACAGATTATAAGGATATGTGGACCCAATTTGCTAGCTCTTGATATTGGTGATACCAAAGTTACTGGAGAGGGACTTCATGGTTTTGAAATATTAGACACTGTTATTGAACATCTTAACCTAAACTCTATTCCAACATTGACCGAGGGTGGATTAGCAGAGATATTCAGAGTTTGTGGATTAAACATTAAATTATTAAATCTAAGCAACATAAACCTGACATCCTGCTCATTTGACGGAAAACTAAATAATTTGAGAAAATTAGATCTAAGCGGAGAGGATATACAGGATTCTCTTCTTCAAGACATTCTGAAGATGTGTGGAACATATTTGAACCGGTTAAACTTAAGAGAATCTCAGGTTACTGGAGAAGGATTGGTCGACTACACCTATGTTCTCTCCCAGCTAGAGGAGTTAGACCTTTCTCACTGCTCCTCTTTAACAGAACACGGTATTAAGGAGATCCTTCAAATCTCTGGCGCCTCTCTCAAATATTTAGATCTTTCCAAACACTCATCAACGTTTGAATTTCTATCTGAGCTAGATCAACCATTGGGAAACCTGACTGAGTTGAATCTTTCCAACTGCAAGCAATTGACTGACGTAGGTCTCCAAGAGATTCTTAGAATCAGTGGTGGAAGCTTACGGAGGCTCGACATCGAAAGAACATCCGTATCTGATGAGTTCAGATCAGTTTTAGAAGGAAACTTTACAAATATTCAAATTATGGATTAAATTGACGGATTTAATCACATCTTCAAAAATTTTGAGTCGGTGCCACAAACTCAAACTTTCTAATTCCTACATCTTTCCAATCTGATGTTGTATATGCTTGATATTTAAACTTCAGATTAAATCGGATCAAACAGAATTCATAGCATATCAGGCCTACGACACTGGATTGCAAAGATATAAATATTAGACTTTGTGGCAAAGACTCAATTTCTTTACATACGTTTAACATCTTTTCAAAGAGTAATTATTTATGGACGATGGTTTTAAGATTTTTTTATCATTTACCAAGCATATGATGTGATCAGAATCAACCTTACCTAGAAGAACAAGATCTCTACTATCACAGCTCAGGTCAGGATACAGCTTCAACCTCAACAGCTACTTATCTAGAATGCGCGAGGATGTCATAGACGAGTGTCTGGATTGCCAGATCCATTCACACACCACAAAACATTTATTCAACTGACCTGAAAACTCTACTCCCTTCACAGTAAGAGACCTTCGGAACAATCCCACTGATGTCGCAAAATTTTTGAGTTGGAACGTTGAAGATTAAAATGAATATGGATGAGAGCCGGCCCGGGCTACAACAACAACAACATGTGATTTTTATGGTTTAGATATTTATTGAAATGATTTTCTGCTTGTGAAATAATTTTGGATATTTTAAACATCTTTTTCAATTCAGATAAATTTTATAAATTCTGGGGGAAAATTATGATTTTGTTTTTAAATCGCTTGTTCTTTACCACAAATGTATTAAACTCGTTTGTGTGATAATCTATACAATTATATTTTGAGGCCAATTAAAAAAGATCAAAAATAGAATATTATCATTCTTTTAAAAGCTTTAGATGTGACTTTATGCACTAAAAAGTTTGTTTACAGTATACTCCGTATAAAAAATATATATATATTCTACATTATATTGATATTTAGTAAATAAAATGTATTTATAAATAATGCTAATTGAAAGAATTATTTGTTTAAAGAAACAGTTGGCATAAGTTCAACTGGCCCTTTATTTAAAAAGTGATATACCCTGTTCAGAGCAGTAGCATTTAATCCTTAAAAATGACAAAGAATTGTGGTTTATTTAAGTGTTCAAGATTTTAAAATAGGGTTTTCATTTATTCCAGCCTTTACCGTCAAAGGAATTGAGTCTCTTCTACAAACTCTGATTTTTTTATTTCTATATTTTTTCAACCAAATGTCGTACACCTGGAATATTTCAAACTATGAATTCTATTAGATCAAATAATCTATGCTTGAAATATCTCAGGTTTCCACCATCAGGTTGCAAAGATATAGAGAATAGAAAATATTAGTTTTTGACAAAGACTCCATCCCTTTGAAGGTACACATTTTGGAATATTGCTAATGTATTTAAGTGCAATTCTAATCAAGCTATAGATGTTTACGAAAAAGATTCCGCAGATAAAATGCGAAGGAAATGAGTTATGCCACAAACTCTATTTTTTCCCTTGTCCTTGTCGTTCCATTGATATTTTAAACTATGAATTTTGTTAGATCATAAATTTTAAGTTTGAAAGATCAAAGATTGCAAAGATAAAGGGATTAGACAAATTGAGTTTGTGGCAAAAACTTTTAAGCCGTCACTGAATTACCATATCATATTGGGACACCCAGTGCATAACCTTCTCCCGATGAATCTATTTCAAAGTTAAATCTGCAGATCCCTCCCCCCCCGTGTTTGAAGTGCGCTAGGTTTACAGCTACCTGCACCATGACCGGGTCAGGCTGACCCGGCTTTCTAGCTGGACCAGGGATAAATACTTAAGCTTTAAAAAAGGATTTTTAATCGGAGTTATATGTTAAAATGTTAAAACATAATTGAACTTGCCATTTTTGGAGGATTTTTAGATTAAATATAAAACTGATAAAATTGCCAACTTTCGCTGAAATTCATCAGTTTTCTAAAATCCAGCGAAGTGAGAAAAAGGAAAGATAAATTTTGGATAAATCATAAAGGTCCGATGTCCTTAAAAAATGAGATTTGTAAACAGAGAATTAATATTCCCAAAAACGAATTAAACACTTAACATTGTCGGTTGATAACAAAAAAAGCTGAATAGTTGTCACAAACTCTATTTTTATAATCCCAATATATTTTCATGATGGTGTAAACCTTTGATTGTTCCAATTCCAAAGGAGATGGGAGTAGAAAATTAGAGTTTATATAATGATCAAATATCTTATTTGGCCGATATCATACTAATTACATATAATCTTATATATCAATTGCTTAAGTTAAGAAAGAAAATAGTTGCAATGAATCAAGAATTCGAGACAAATTACTGAGCTGTCCAGTGTCCAATACTGCATTACTATGCAAAGATGTCAATGCCCGATTCACAACTCTACATTTGAAGCCTTTATCTGATCAATAATGTTGGAGCTATTGTCACGGTTTTCCAAGTTTAAAAGTGTCATTTTTCAAAATCATATACATTGATAACTAATTCATGCTTGATCCGACAAAGCTTTTAAGGATACCGTTGTGAATTTTCACAATTTTCATCTTTGCATCGAGGCTCACTTGAAATACGCTTACAGTCCCTTTATGTGTCATTCTTTAAATTTGTTAAGATATATTTAAGTGGTTATTATCTGAATGAATTGTGCAATATTAAAAAAATTGTTTGAAAATATAAATTTTTTTTTTGTATTGTAATTTGGTAGGATAAATAAAGGATGTGACATAACATAATGCTGAAATTGAATTTTTGCCAAAAACTCTGATTTTCTAATCCCTATATTTGTTCAACACAATGTCATACCCCTTAGATATTTAAAATCATAATTTCTGTTAGATCAATTAATCTAAGTTTGAAATATCAAAGATGTACACCTTCAGATTGCAAAGATATATGAATTCGTTAATTTAAGACTCAATTCCTTTTCTTTATTTTGAAAGCATTTACCTTCAATAATGTTAAATCCTTGCTTATCCAAATATAAATAATCCGTTTAAAGGAATTGAGTCTTTGTCACAATCTCTGATTTTCTAATCCCAATATCTTTGCAACCCAAAGTCGTAAACCTTAGCTATTTCAAACTATGAATGTTTTTAGACAAAACAATCTAAGTTTGAAATATCAAAGGTTTACACCATCAAGTTGCTAAGATTTTGGCATTCGAAAATTTGAGTTTGTGGCAAAAACTCAACTCCTTTGTATTTAATATTTGATAAAATTGCCTTCTAACAGAAATATAAAGTTTATTTGAAATTAGAGAGTGATTAAGTTGTTACAATACATTGCTGAGCTTTTAAGGTACATTTTCATAATAATATTTAGTAATTAATAATAGAATATATATACAATGCACATTAAATATGTTGAAGTATTTGAGGCACCTGGACAGTGTATACAATATAAAATTTTAAAAAATGTATATACCTTCTAAAAATTCTATGCGATCATATTCATATTCATATTATTCGTAGTTATCATGTATGATCAAAGGCGTATTTTAAATTATTTCATCACCAAAATATCATTAAAACGGGTTTGTGATATGAACTGTAGAATAGGGGGGGGGAGACGTACTACCTTTAACCCCCCCCCCCCCTTCCCGGTTACATATATGAGCTTATCCTAGTTTTAGCTTTTATACTAGATTTTCTTTCATTAACCTAAATAACATTTTGTTCTTTGTACATTCTCAGATGCGTCGCACAGTTTTGACCTAAATATACAAAATATGACAAATTAAAAATGAACTAATTTCATTTTAAAAAAATTTGTAACGCCTAATTATGTCATCAAATTATTGAAATGAAGAAAACATGATTGATGATATGAAATATATTATATATAAGTTACACATTCTCCACTTTTTTTTAAACTAATACTTTATTAAAACTTTAAAACTATTATTCATGTTCATTAGAGCATTCAAAATTAAGACTTGACTCTATGTAGTCGTCAACTTTATCCACAGTGTCATGGGTCTTAATGTAAATTATTTCAAAAGAAAAGATTTTGATCACTCGATATTTGTTTTTGTTCAAATTGTGTTGTTATTATTTCAAAAGAAAGTTTTTGATCACTCAATATTTGTTTTTGTTCAAATTGTATTGTTACTGCGCGCCTCTAAATTCACCCAAATCCTTCATACATAGATCGTAACCTTGGTCTTTTGCAAGTTAAATCTACATGATACTGACAAACCTACGGCCTCATCTGGAGTCGTAGTTCTAAAAACTTTGTTCATGATAACCTCGAAACATTTTTGGGAAATATGGAGATATATTACATTTTAATGTTTATAAAGGGTGTCCCATTAATCATGGAAATTAAGTCAAGACTTCTGAACTGAAGCGTCTTTTTTGAACCTTAAACTAAGTTTTCGGCGTGTTCTGCAGTAATTTGCACTACTCAGACCGAAGATATAGTAGCGTCGAAAATTTTTTTCTTAAACCCTTATAATTACAAACTTGGTGACGATTTTAATGTTGTCACTGAATTCCCATGCTTTATGGGACACCCTGTGTACAAAATTTACAGAAAATATTCTGTCCTACATTTAGTTTTCTGGATTATTCTTCAAACTAATAATAATACTATGGTAGACGATTTCAACGCTGTCACTCAATTCCCATGTTTTTTGGGACACCCTGTGTACAAAGAGATATTAAGTCTTTGTCACAACGCGTGATTTTCAAATCCCGACATCTTTGCAAACTAATGTCGTAGACCTTTGATATTTCAAACTATGAAATCTGTTAGATTAAAAAATCTAAGTTAAAAATCAAAACATCTTAGTTTTTGGCAAAGACTCAATAGTCAATACCATTCATAAAATGTTCTGTCCGACATAAAATATCGAATTTAGTTTTATTGATTTTTCTTTAAAATAACAATTATACGTTAATAGGAAGCTAATTACAAAATTCACGAAACACAAAACTAGGAGTTTAGATTTGGAGTAAAATTCGTATAATTTGAAAAACAACTTGCAAAAATTATGAAAGATATATTGCCATGGCATTTGAAAAATGCAACTTAAACTGAATTTTGATTTGCATAATCGTAACTAATTTAAGGTTGAAGGGAGGGAGCCCCAGCGGTTGGGTTAATCGATACTATTTTTATGTGGATTTTTTTTCATGTTAATTGCAATATAGATTCTCCTGCTAAGAATGCCAATTCAAAAACGATAAACATACAAAAATGTGAATTATTTGGTTTGAAAATATCACGAACAATTAGTAGACATACATTTATTAAAGAATATTCTTAACGAGCAGTATTGAATTACAGTTTATTTAACGCAAACTGCGTTATGTTACTGTCCGTCGTTTACCCCATTTGGAAAACCGAGACAACCCCCTTTTAAGGAACTTAAATAAATTAGTAATAATTAGATGAAAGAGAAATAATTCAAAGATAAAACGTTTATACACGGTGGTCCTGTCAGAGTTAACGGATATGGAACTTTTTGACGCCATTGAACGATTTTGTCACCATGAAGTTGTTGTTTAAGCTGTTTTTACAAGGTGTTCTTTTCTTACACACGCTAAAATTAAGAAACGACTTCCATGGTTTCGGAAATTTCAAATTTAGTTAGACTTTTTGTGTATTTTGATGTTAACTGTTTAAACTGGAATACTTCTTAAATTGTTTTCACCAATAATATTGTATTGATCACAGACGATATACAAGTTGTTACTTAATTTCCGTGTTTATTGGATTATCTTGTATTTTGTAGTTCCTCCCTCTTATTGGCACGTTATAAAGCTTAAGACGTTGCATAATGATACCGTTAAAGATCCGAAAACGTGAGGAAAAACCCCTTTTCTGAACAAATTTAATAAAAGTGCGTCTGCAGAAATATGCGTAATGTATTTTTCTTCCTGTGAAATTATTCTGCGCAACTGTGCTCT